TAAGATTCAATAGAATAATGTCCTAATATATAATAATACATATTTAGGCATTGGACAGAACCCAAGGAAAAACAGTGATGAAGATCATCCAGGTGGTCGACGTTCAGACAAATATAAAAGATAAAAGCTCTGTCGTGAATTCACTGTCTGGTAACATGACTGAAGAAGGAGGTGAGAGAGACGTGTATCAATCATCTTAAGATTCACAGGTCAGTGTGAGCTGAGTTCTCCAGCTCAGGTCTAATGTGAGGAGATGACAGACGCTGCAACGTTTCCCCTCATCACTGAACCACAGTGACCCAGAACCTCACAGAACACACTCCTCTGCTGCGGCTGAAAACATGGAGGTGACGCTCTGATGATGGAGCTCTGTCAGTGTCAGACATGTTTCTGAGAAACGATGAGCTTCCGTGAATCTGCACTGTGAAGATTGTAAACCATCACCTGAGTGGAGGCAGCTGGGCTGGATGTCTGCTGACTGACATCATTATTGATTATTTCCTGTTATTTATTATGTGAATGTTTGTGTTTACCTGCACGTGCTGGTCTCCCACACACACATTTAGTGCTGCAGCACAGAGACCCTGCACCTGTTGCACCCATAGTCTGTTTATACAGGGATGCAGTACAGACAGTCTGTGGTTGCACCACACTGGATATTCAGTCTCCTGCAGGGGAGGAGTCATGTCATGCTGTCGCCATCCTGTGGGAAAAACCTGCAACTGCAACACAAGACAGCCTCACCTGAACCTCCGGCAGGTGATGTGAGGTCTCTAGATAATATTAGTATTTAATGAGACGTTCAAATGTGAGGACAGAGAATCAGACTAGCTTCAACATTTTGTCCTTTTTACATGGTGGAAAATAAAACCACAGATTTGATTTAATTACTTCTGGTGTGTGAGAGTATTCCCTCACATTTAAAAGTTAATTTAAAACGCTCAGCCCTTAGAATTACATTTCAAATGCAACCAAGTCATACACTGTTACTGTAAGAGTTTAAAGTAGCCAGCAGTTCATAGAATAAATACACAAGTGTTTTGTGGACTCAAACTCTTCACCACCCCTCCATCGGCACAGTGGTGAGTAGATAATGAGTGAAGTTTTATTTCTGGGTGAACTATCCCTTTAAACTCTCCTCTGAATGTCTATGTCCACCTTTAAAGTCTGTTGCAGTTGATGAAGAGGCCTGTGCAGATGCAGGGGCCTCCTCCTCCTCCTCCTCCTCCTCCTCCTCTGTGAGAATGGGGAGCAGGAATGTGTGATGGCTCTGGTGGATGTTGGCCAGTGATAGGTCTGCTCTGTCTTTGGGCTGTAAAAGTTCAAGTCATTATTCTCCTCCTGCTTCTGCTGCTGCTGCTATTCAGACCAGCTCCCGTCAGCTCATTGTTATTCTGCACGAGTGAGAGAGAGAGAGAGAGAGAGAGAGAGAGAGAGAGAGAGAGAGAGCGGCAGAGAGAGAGAGGGGGAGGCAGAGAGAGGTGCACTCACACTGGGAGGCTGTAGTT